ACACACACACACACACACACACACACACACACACACACACACACACACACACGTGTTGAATCATGCTAATTACACAGGTCACTCAGTGTAAACTCCTGAATCTGTCTGATCTCTGCATACGTCTCTGCTTTCTTCCACCCCCTGCTTTCCCAAATACACTCTGTGTGTGAGTGTGAGTGTGTGTGTGTGTGATAATGTTCAAATTATATACCACTGTATAGTCACTTTTTGTTTCTAGCCTTTGGCCAACATTTATTAGTTGTTTGCATTAATTTAAAAAATACAAAATAAAAAAAAGGATCTGCATCGCCTACAATATCATCTTCCAGCCTCCCACTTAATGACTAAGTTACCACAACTTTGTAAATGTAGATAGAGTTGGATAAAGTTGAAATTCAGTTTTTTTAAAACTACAGTTTTGAGGTTATTTTATGCAACACGTACTTCTGACCTAGCTTTTAAAATCAGAATGAAAATGAAAGATGTTTTTTAATTCATTTTTTGCTTTTACAGTTTTTATTTTATTTTATTTATTTTAGATCAAATTTGACTGCCCAAATTTGATAGTTGTTGATTTCATCTACGCTGGGCTAACCTTAAGAATATTTGACATTAATGTTTAAACATAATTTTCCCTCAACATACATCATTGAGCAATAATGGTAAGGAATCTGGATGCCAGCTTTTCTTGTGGAGCAGAATTTTGTATCATTTTTGTCCATTATGAGACATAGAAACCATTGTATTTATTGCATATCAATGCATTGTTCAATTCTTGTTAAAAAAAATTATATATTAATACTATATCTAATCTATATACATCTGTACATTAATGTTAAGAAAGGTCATTGTATTTTAAGCAGTCTCTAGAAATCTCCTTTCTCTCTGATGTCTTAAATTTGTGATTAAACAACATGCCTCCCTATTTCTGAAATGCCTGTTTGCCCTTGACTGAATTCCAGCTACCTCTAGTCTTGCCGCATACTCATAGAGAGGCGTTCTGCCCCTGTGGCAGCGTTCGGCCTGCTGGCCCGTTACCGGCGTCGCCTCATGTCAGAGCTCATTACTCCTGGTCCAGCATTCTCCTGCATGCTACCCAGAATCTGCCTGCTGGCGCCTTCTCTAGCCTGTCCAGCGATCAGCAATTAACCCCCCGATGCATTGTGGCTGAACCCTGCCACACAATCATTGTTTAGGTTTGTGTTCAAAAGGTACGCTTTTTTTTGCAGCTGACCTCCTGCCAGTTGCAGGTCATGTTAATTGCCCCAGATTGATATTCCCGCTGTGCTTGGTGCTGGCGTTGGTCAACCCCTGGAGCAAACGGATATGCTTTTTCATCTGTGAAGACTAACCATGCGGTTATCCTTTTATGTTGCTGCTTAGTGCACTTCAGTATCTCTAAAGATAATCCTATTGTTATTACCTAATTAAGCCTCCAGCCACAACCCTGCAGATCATACTGAACTTTGCTCCCAGTGGGCTCTACTTAGACTTTCCAAACGTCATCCTCTGTAGCACTATAGCACTGAATAGCATTGGATGCTAGTGTTGCATGACGATCTTTAGAATAGTGTTTGATGTGATTTGCATTAGACTAACCTTCATTACCTGTTGTTTTATTTGATTATTTTGAGATTTTCTTTTTTTAAACTCCAAGAGTCAACAGATGTGAAGGATGACTGATTGAGAACATATTGAAATAATGCTGAATTAATTGGTAGGTGTTCAGTAGATGTTTTACTACTGCCTTTTTAATTATTTTATTTATTTTATTTATTTATTTTTTTTTTCCCAGTTATTGCCTCAACTCTAGAAATTAGAAATCTAACTAACTAAAATTTTTATTTTTTTCCCAGTTATTGCCTCAACTCTAGAAATTAGAAATCTTGTCCCGGCAACTAACTAAAATATGTTTTTCATCTAATATTTACATATTTCCATGGGTGTTAAATCTCTGAGATTTATTATTTGTATTTTTTTGTACATCTGTATATTATCAAATTAAGTATCAAGCACACAATTTTACATATTAATATATTAAAAAATAATATATTCTTTCAATAGCTGTTTCTTTCCAAAATTGTAAATTTAACTAATGCGAAAAAAAAGGAAAGGAATGGAATAAAAAATGGAACATTGAATAAAACATTTGCAAATGAAGTACTGTTTACAAAATCGTCACTTCCTGGGAAAAATGGAAATTGCTGCAAACGTGTAGCTCATTTTCCTACATAATAAATGACTTTATAATAAATTAGAAATTACTATTTTGTATTTTGATGTATTTTCATTGTAGTTTATGCATGTCTTCTTATCTGACACAAAATTACGCACACTTTAATATTTTATGCTCATTTTAGTAATCATTGTCTGTGCAAAAAAAAGACTACAAAAACAAACCTTTTTTTCTTTGGAATAACATGCACTATAAATCACATGCATAACAGTGTTATTTTAGTATTATTTATATACTACTCTATTTTGAATTTGCTTTTATTTTAATTATTTCATTTTAATTTGTTATGTTTTGTAATTTTGTTATGTGCTTTTGTCTTTTTTATTCTTTTTTTAATTGCTTAATTTTATTTAATTTATTTTTATTTCAGTTTTAGATTTTTTTATTTATTTTATTTCTAGTTAGTAATTTTAGCAACCCAGTCTCATAAAAAAATGCGTGCCTCTATGTGACGCTAACATTCAAAAGTATCAGTTTTCAAATCTCGCAGCATATTAAAATTGTTTTGAAGTCATAACATAATATTCTTCAAGTAATTGTGTGAAAATAAAGCTTTATTAATTGAAACTGTGGACCTGTAAATCATACTTTGTGTGAAAAGCAATAAAAGTTGTCAGAGTTTCTCTGTCTCTATTGTTCATTATAACTGGAAACCGCAGCGATTCGTACATATAGGTATGTTTTTTTCAGTTTTGTAGAAAAGTACCTAGTATTTCCAATGAGCCTGGGTAGAATTTTAGTGCCTCAACTTAAAAAAATAGAAATCTTGCCTTGGCAACTAACTGAAGCTAATATCATCTAATATTTATATTTTATTTGATTGCAGATTTATTTCAATTAACTGAAATGTTTTGATTGTTTTAGTTCTAGTTAATAAGAACCCTGATGCATAAGAAATATATTTAATTTACATAGTTGACAGTCCAACAGATGCAGTCTGAATGAACGGCTCATTGTGATTGATCTGTAATGAGCTGAACTGAAGAGTTTGGACACTGGATCTGCTTCTACGTCACGTTTATATCCCACATGTCAGAATGATCCTGATTTTCCTCACTTAGCCGCAGAGTAATGAGAAGCACTTACGTAGTTGTCACGGGCCGACCAGCTGGGATAAAGCTGCATGTGAAGCTGTCGCTCCTTCCGCGCTAGTTCATAGTACTTGGCCTGTTCCTCGCGGGTCAGAGCGTGCCACTGTAACACACACACACACACACACACACACACACATTAGGTTTCTGTGAATTGTGTTCTGTTACTTTTATGCTGACCAAACAATATTTTCTAGCCCCTAAATCTACCCCTTACAGCAGGGGTGGGGGACGCTGATCCTGGAGGGCCGCTGTCCTGCAGAGTGACAAAAAAACCCTTCCTGTATCCTGAAGACCTTGATTAGCTTGTTCAGGTGTGTTTAATTAGGGTTGGAGCTAAACTCTGCACTGGCCCTCCAGGATCAACGTTCCCCACCCCTGCCTTACAGAAAACCTGTTTGCATTGTTACACTTTCAGATAAACATCATTTACTATTTTTAATAATTTTTTTCCGAGCGCAGGCAGTTATCCACAATGTCAAAAATTTCAGGTTTTACTATCCTTGTGGGGACATTTAGACACACACACACACACACACACACAAACACACTCACTCACACACACTCACAAACACACTCACTCACACACACTCACACACTCACTCACTCACTCTCTCACACATACACACACACACACACACA